CTTCGTCACAGACAGTATTTATGTTATTATTGTACAGTCCTCAGCCCTACCAAGGCCAACCGTTACAGAGCAAAAACAAGCAACAGAAAGCAGAGACAGTAAGGGAACATAGCACAGAATGAATGATCTTTACATTAACAACCAAGTACCATTACTGTATATATATATATATATACAAATATACACACATACATTTGAAACTTATTACGTGATAGTGAGACAAAAATTGCCATTAGTAGCACCATTAGCACACCAATTTCCCTACATAAACTATGTTATGGGATGCTGCAGAGAAGACCTAGCAATGAAAAGTTATTTTCAAGCTGTTACATTATTAAAGCACTCCATTTTACTTCAAAACAGCTTTTTTCTTTTTTTAGAAAAGAGCCATTGTACATGCACAAGATCTATTTCAACAAATTGAAAGGCATACATAAACTAGTGGACAGAATAGTAGTTTACAGAATAAAATAAAATTACATACAAACAAAGTCTTCTTCAGTGACAGACTTAGGTAACACTTCCAAGCCAATTAAGACAACTCAGTTTCTGAAGCAACAGATCACTGCTTTTCATTTTTGAGGGAAAAAAATAATCTAGAAATGCATAAAATTATAGATACTAATTTATTTTGTTTATCAGGAAGTGATGTTGATACTCATTGACCTTTCCTTTAAATATCACTTTAGTTCATGCATTAAGTTGTTCTATAAGACTGGAAAATATGTGTAGTTTTGCCACCTGTACTTTCAGTCACACTTTGGCACCCCACACATATAAATACTTGGTTGTCTGATGGAGAAATATCAAGGAGAGCAGAGTAGGTATTATAAATTAAAACTCTCAAACAGCTCAAGAGACTGTGGATGTCTACAATTTGTACTCATCTTCAGAAACTGACAAGCTTTATAAGGCGAGCAAGCTTTTCTATACCTTTGCGAAGTGTTATTACACAGAAACATGTTTGCTAGCACTGACAGAAACCAAATGAAAAACAGATCATCTAGGTTTGAGTTCAAGAATTTTCCCCCACAGAAACTGAGTTTTGCCCTACAGCTTCCACCACATCGAAGGTCACATAATGTGCACAGAATAACTTTACAGAAGTTCATTACAGATTTCAAACTGGCTGTGTTTTGGGAAAGGGCAGGTAACCAAAACAAGGGGGATGGAACGACACAAAGCTAGAGTAATTTTTCTGTAACATAAGATCAAAACAAATAGCTTGTCTCCATAACATGAAGCAAGAAGCAGAAATCAGAGACTAGAAAATAGAAACAGGTGAACTGACAAATAAAAAAAAAAAAGTATGAAAATGAATGCACTATACTGGGTAGTAAAGTGAGAAAATGAACAAAAAAAACCCCACAGAAATGGAACAGGAGAAGAGATCCTAATCAAGCCATGCACAGCTAGATAGGAAAAGAAGGCCTAACAAAACCAAGAAGGATGACTTGTAATTTATGGATTAAACTAAGTCACCTAGAAACATAAGTCAGTAAAATACTCAGATGTTACAGATACTATACGTCTTTAATTTGCAGTGATCTTTGGGGTCACTGTGGCAATATGCATTTATTTCATGCTGACTGCTGAACAGAATTATAACTGTTTCCAGCCTAGAAAATGTTACGGTTAAAAGGGTGAAGGCATATAGAATAATGGCATCATTCAGGCTGAAAAAGACCTTTAAGATAGAGAAATCTCTGCCTCTAAGGGTTGTGCACAGTTTGCACATTCAAATGCAGCCCCTGAAGTTATGTTAGGACTCTGGACAAGTGCAAAAATGTGCTTGAATCCTCTATTCAAAAATATCTATGGTCTTTTCCAAGTATTGCAGTCTAGAAATTTCCTAGTAAGCAAGAACCAAAAGTTGGAGCAATACTCTTAACCAAATCACTGCAAAGTACATTGGAACAGATCTGCAATGACCTGCTTTTCATAACACCTGGGAGGTATTTCACATCCTTCTCGTGTGCCACTGAACATGTAGCTACTATGCCACCTAAAGACAGGAAAAGGGTTACCAGTCCCCAATTTCATTGGGTCTCATCCCAAACCAGAAGACAGAGATTCTATCTCTGCCTATTCCCAAACAGGGTTTGGATCTTTCTTATTCCCATGATTAATGCAACCATACTCCCAAAGATTGTAATGTTTTGTTTAAATGGTAAGATCCTACTAGGGCATACTGACCCCACCATACACTTGGCATGTGTATCATGTATCCTTGCATGCATACTTTCACAGAGTGTACATACAGAAACATTGTTTTGACTCCTTTGCTTCTGGTATTTGCTATTGAGACAGAATGATCAGTCTTCTCCCGGACTTTAAATGCTATTATAATACCCCATATCATTTAATGAATAAGAATGGCAGCAATTTAAATTACTTGTAGTACAGTGTGATTAAGAAAGTTCATTGCAAAGATAATGGTTATGGAATCAAATAAGCGTTCACACCATTGGCTTTCAGGAAATTTTGGATGTGGTTTCCCAGTCAGTTGGAGTGACCAGAGGCAATCATGCCATTCCCTACCTTTGTATTTTCACAGCTTTCCCTGCAGCGATGAAGAACTGCAGGGCAGCATGGTAGCAGAATAATGTACTACGCAGTCCACACATGACAATTACTACACCACAAGGGGGTGCAGAAAGGCACTACTGAGGTTGGTGCTGCAATTCTGGCAACAGTCCTGAGTCTGAAAAACTTTAGCACAGGGAAACAGCACGAGCAGGAAAGAGTGGTATCAACAGCAACAGCCAAAATACTTTTTCCTTTTCACCTACCCACTCTGCAACACTGTGTCCAGAACACTGCCTCCTACTCGAGCATAAGTCACATTTACAGACCTGAAAAGATATGCTGTGTTATCACATCCTGAAATGAAAGGGGAGGGGGGGAGGGGGGGGATGATAAATAAATAAATCAAAGGCAATTCCATGCAACTCTTAATGACTGCAAAAGAAAAGAATTGATAATTGTACCTTGAAACAGCAGCTGTAGGCACACTTTTATTATATAACCAACTCCCATCCTCATGTTTTGACACCATATTATTTAATCAGGATATCCTTTAAAAGAAAGTCAACCTAAACACACTTGCGCGTACCACCTACTACCTCCAGAATGCTTCAATTAGCATAGGATTAGTTCAGCATAAAACTTAATAAATACTTCCTGGTAGAACCCAGCATACTTAATTGCTTATCTCCCCCACCAGGTACCAAATCAAATAAATAGTAGCTCGACAAGTGGCAAGGAAACTACAAGATTGATTCATATTTTGCTATTCTCATGTGTCCAATTGTGACAGGTGATTTCTGTTTCAGATTATATCAGATAATAACAGTAAACAAGTTTGTTCAGTGAACTGCAAACTCATAAGGAGAAACAATTCAATTCACACTAGGTCTACATTAGATATTTTTCAGAAGCACTTAACTCAAGGTGGATTAGAAACAGGGACTAAAGCAACTACAGAATACTTTTATTCTATGTAGAATATAAACCCAAAAAGGCTTGCAAGCCAGAAACCTAAGGATAACAATGTGCAGGTGGTTGACACTCTCTAAGAGCTTGAATATCATCTTCCAAAACGCAGAAACACTGTTAAACCTGAAGATTTAATCTGGTACTGGACTGGGATGAATTTAACCTGCAATTATAAATTCTGCTGCTGTGTTTACTGATGTTTTTGATTTTTCCCCCTTACTAGCCAACAAGGAAGCTACTAACCTCAGTTTATATATACATATAAATATATATATACATACACATATCTGGGCTGCCTTCAATAGTCAACAAAATAGTATCGTTCATACCGTTAGTAACTTCTTCAAATTTAATATGTGAACTTGAATCCCATTTTCCACCAAATGCAATAATCTTAAATAAGGAGCCAAATTCTTTGCCACAAAGCAGTGGATTTTTTACAGCTTTCTAGAAAATCTTCCTGATCCAAATAAAAACTCTTTCTCTGTGTTTATGTATTGTTGTCTTCTCTACATATAAGGTTTGGACCTAAATCAGCCTCAACATCCCACAGAAATAAATTAAGGCCTGTATTTTATTTCTGTATTAATGTAAATGAAGTGAATGAAGTATAAGTTTAGTTCTTTCACTCTTTTGAAGGCCATTTAACAAAAAAAAAAAAAAAAGGAAAGAAAAAATAAAGTCACAAGCTGGTTTACAAAAAGTTTTAGGTAGGGCAATCACAGTTTTAACAGCCTGCATCTTCAACTAACAGTTTGAAATCTCCGAAAGAACATCTTTTACCAAAAAAAACCCTCAAATCACCAAAAACCACAGCTTCCTGAACTGTCACAGTCAACATATAACAATTCTGAGCTTACTCAAACCTGCAGTTATCATCAGACACCTGTATTATTTCCAGAACACCTAAAAAGCTCTGCTTCAGAAAATTTCTTAAAAAACTCTACTCAGTTGATTCACCTTTACTGTGCCCTTTGTCTTTGCCTTACTCTCTGACAAGCAAGTTTATTAGGAAGGTGCGATTTTGCAATGTTATGTACATTTTAAGTACTACATACATTTGCTCATACTATTTCTACTTGAAACATAAGTAATATCAGCTTTAGTATTAGCATCTCAGGGCAGTACACTGCGTAACGCATACCTCTTTTTCCATTCTCTCTCAACTGAAATAACAAATCCTTTATAAAATTTAAAGAAGTTTGCATAAGAAACTCATCATACTAGTTGAAAGATCAGTTTAGACACCAATTCCACAACCTGAGAGGAAAAAAATTATTCTCAAAGGAATTAAAATAAAATTACAAGTAACTCATAAGCGCAGCTAACAGATTAAAACAGATTCGCACTCCAGTGAGAACTTTCTTAATTTTCTTCTGAAATTTTCCAAAAAGTAGTTTCAAAGCAAATGTGAAAAAAAAATGCTAGTACATTTTTTAATAAAGTTCTCCAAAAAGATATTTCCTATTACTATTAGCTTTTTCTCATTAACCAGCATTTACACAAGATTGGTTTTGTCAACCCGCTTCCCTATCAAGGCTTCCACTGCAGCAATGTGAAAATATGCTAGAAAAGTTTGAGCGGTACTGCTTTGATCTGTGAGAGGAAAAAAAAAAAAAAAAAGAAAACAAAAAAAAAAGGAGAGAATAAAAAGTTGTCCTAACTTCTGTTTCCAAATTCCTAGATTGCAAGAGCGCTTAAGATTTTACAGGTCACTGAGGGCCAGGACGCACTCCAACTTAATACCTACATATTTACATTAAATTAGAAGTACTGTCTTCAGTGATCATTTCCATTTTCATGTATGTGTACTGTTATGATGAAAAAATAAAAGAAACAGTAGCACACTCTACTGACATTAGGCATAGACAGTTTCCTGTGTCCGCCGAATTTCTCACTGTGGTCAAACTTCCCGAGCTTTGGATTTTGAAATATCAATAGGCAAAGGAAGAATAAACTAGCAATCATGTTTGCTCTTAAAAACTAGTGAAGGAAATTAGCAGCACACATAATGAACTTTATTATTACTTTCAAGTTAAGAAAATTTATGAAGACATATGAGAGAAGTTAGTGCACATCATGCTACTGCAGCAGTGGGACTCAGACTTGCCAGAAATACTCTCACCTTCTGAGGACGACATACCGTATAAACTTTTATCACTGTAACAACTTACGTGTACTTAAGGCCTTCAGCACAGTCTATAAAAATGCATTTAGGACTACACGAATAACCATTCTGATTATTGATTAACCTTGCGGAATGGATGTCAATCAGTTCCCTTCCACATATGCACCTCTATTAGGTACCAACTGCAGACAGCAGCACCGCCGAGTTTTCTTCTGCTACATTAAAGTACTTGAGGCATAAACCTTTAAAGCTACCACATGGAACTGCAATCTCCAAAAGCTCATCACGGCGCCCGCTCACCGTCACGAGAGCAGCGCGCCAGTGAGCTTTTCAGTACGCTAAGAGAGATAACACTACAATAAGGCTAAAAGCCCGACAGCGAGCAGCAGCACCTGAGCGGGGGGCACCACCTCGGCGGGCAGCCCGGCGGCGGCATGGGGGAGCGGGCGGACCGAGCCCCGCGGCTCAGCGCCCGCAGCATCCCGAGCCGCAGCTGCGCTCCGCTTCCAGCGCGGCACCGGACGCCGGCCTCGCTACCTGAGAGAAGCCAGCCGCGAGCAGCAGCGCGGAGGAAACACGCCCCCAACTCCGCTAGGAAAGAAATAAAAGAGAACGAGGAGATGCGAAACAGAAAAAAAAAAGAGAGAAGAAAGTGGAAAGAAAGGAACCCAAACGTGCTGAATACCAGAGTTCTCAGCGAAGGCTCCCAGCCTCTCAGCACGGTCCAGCCACAGCCGCTGACTTCCTCCGTCCACAGGTACCTGGTGGAACGGCCCGCGACCATATCCCCATCCCGAGCCCGGCCCCTCCGAAACCCGGCCCCCCTTCCGACACCCACCTTTCCCCTCGCTGCACTACCTCCACCGGGGGCGGGGGGTAACCTCCCTCACCCCCTTCTCCCCACCCCCGGCGCGGCCAGCCCGCTGCTCCGGGGAGGAAGGAGCGGGGCCGGTCCGGTCCCCCTCCCCAGGAGACACCAGGTGAAGCCTTCCGGGGGGTCGCGGACACCTGCCTGCCTCTCGGTGCTGCCGCGGCTCCGGTGGCGGCTGCAGGTACTAACCCATCCATGGCCCGGGCAACGGGGTGGGGCCGCGGGGCCGCCGGGGTGGGCGGGGCGACAGGCGTGATGCGCGGATGACAGCGAGAGGGCCCCGCCCCGGCCCGCCCCGGCCCGCCCCACCTCTCCCCGCCCCCCCCCGCCGCCAGCAGTTGCGCATGCGTACTGGGGGCCGGCGGAGTGAGGGAAGCTGTGAACATGCGGCCGGGTCGGCTTACTTCAGCTCTTCCGCCCTCATGCTCCCTCCTTCCAGCGGCGCATGCGCGGTACGGAGGCGCTGAGGTGGCCCGGAGCTGGCTTAGCGGCGTTCGGCTGCAGCCTGTTTGGGCCGCTGACGGGGGAAAGCTGTTTCGGGTGAGCCAGCCCTGAGCTGGGTGCTGGCGGGTCGTGTGCTTCAGCGTATGGCATTAAAGAAACATGTAGCCTCAGTCAAATGGATGAGCCACAAGACAAGTCTTGCCGTTATCGAAGTCCTGTGAGCCTCAGGGCTTGCAGTACGCTTAAGTGAGAAACAGAGACCTGTCACAGTTTTGGGGATAAAACACTTTTTATATTGTGTCTCTGTAGAAATACGAGATCCAGAGATTTCTTATATCGCTTCTGACATGAATCATCTAAGAACATGGAAGGGGAAACAGCTTCACTGCAAATGGCTTGAATATTCTGTGTGAGATGCCAGTGCTTCACATGATGTGGAAGTTACAAGTGTGATGAAGATGGGTAGTGTGTACAAGTGGGGTTTAGAGGGAGACAGTGGATAGAGAGAGGCCCCATTAGTCCCTCCATTAAACCCCTGCCACGAACAGGAAGGATTAACGTATACAAGAGGTGTCTTTGTGTTAAGTGTGGCAGATTGTAACAGTTGCTTATTTGCACAAAATCTGAAAGTAAAAGCTAAAAGGAAGTGAAGACAAGATAATATTTGAAGCAGAGCAAATCCATCTGCTTTCAAAATTTTTTAGAAAGTTTGTGCCCTTATGTGAAATCTTAAGACATAAAGTGGAAGACGGCTTGCATTTTTATTTGTTCATTGCCTAGCACAATCACAGTACATGACAGCATCCTTTAGAGGAAACAGTGGGATTTGTTACGTAGTTACGTCTCCTGGAGTTCACTCAGTGCAAGACTTGGCCTGACACACAGGCTTTTGATGATTATAGTTCCCAATCCTCTCTCCCTTCATGTAATGAGAGTATGTTTAGCAAGTGAGCTGCAAGCACTTCCTGACAGATGATTCCCATCATCTGTGTCCTGTGACCTGCTGGAAGGTATTTGCTTTGATTGTGACAGGGCAACTTTTGTGTCCTGCTGTAGGAAATGAGTGGAGTGACTGGAGAAGAAGCTGTTAGGTAGCAGTTTAGAATCATAGAATCATACAGTGGTTTGTGTTGTTTGAAGAGACCTGAAAGATGACCTTGTTCCAAAGTCCCATATTTGCCAAGTACTTGGCCCAATCCCTGCCTTCATCAAGGAGCACATACAAAAATGAGCACTTTAGGGTTCATGGAATATACACATCAAAATGGGGTGCTGGGCTTGATCAGAGGCTCTGAACTGAGAGTCCTGTTACCTAAAAATAGAATGATACATTTTCAGCTGAAGGTTGTGAATTCTATAGTTGCAAGACACTGCCGTCTATCATCCTTTTCTCCCTTTTTTTCACCCCCAAACATGGTAGCATACCAGCCCATCTCTGCTATTACAGCTGCCAGTGTGGCTAGCCCCTGTCCTGTATTCGGGAACTAGCCTGACCTTAAAAAATACTTTTTTTTTTTTTTTTTTCTCACAAACAAGATAGTTTTAAAACCAGGTTGGACCTCTAGTTCAGGTCAAAAAGTGTCTTTCTATGTTAGATTTCTAGTTTGGGTCTGTTAGGGCAAAGCAAGAAAAGCATCTTGTAGAAAGCATTTTGTAGAAAGGGGGAACTTTCATTTCCCTGGTGTACCTCGAAGTTTTAGTGGTTTTATAGCACGACTTCATATGTTGTTCATACTCAGCCTGAATTCTTATATCTGGGAAAAGTTGCAGTCTTAAGCGAAAATTGTGAGAAAGTTGTAGTTTCCTGTGGTTTCCACCTTAAACCAGGTTTCGGTTTTATGGTTATCATCACTTGCAAAAGAAATGAAGTTATGAGTGTACTGTGTGATTTAATCAGCCTATTTCCAAAAGTAAGTTACTGAAAACAATCAATTTTGTTAATAATATAGGAGTGTTTAAAAGTTTGCCTTTCTGTTTCACTATGAAATACAGGAGCATGACAGATCACCATGATCAAAACCACTCATCCAGCATATTGACAGCTGGGGCTAGATTCATTTGAAAAAATAAATTTTAGTCATAATAGGACAGATGATATTTCAATAAGTTATGATGAGAAAAGTAGGAGAGAATATATATATGATTATATGTTTTATATATATTCTAATATATGTGTTAATATGGTACTAGAATATACATATACACATACAAGAATATAATAAATATTTCCAGTATATTAGAATATGTTATATATTGATTACATTTCACAAAAATTTAAAAATTAAAAAGGTAAGAATTTCTGAATCCTTTGAAAGGTCATTTCTTTAAAGGTCAAATTGTTAAAATTGCCTTACAATTTCATCCCTTGGTACACATGTTTCTTGTTACAAGTTAAATATACAATGTAATTTAAAAACACCATGAGGGTTCTCCTGTAATTGGTCTGTATACTGTAAAAATAGAAATAAGTGTGTCTCTCCATAATCTAGATTGTGATGGCATTGAAGAATGCTTTTAATATAATTTCCAACTGCAGTTCACAAAGCCAATTGAAAATTTGATAGATTGTTATAATAGAAAAAGGAAATAAATCCTTTGTGATAGGGCCTGTGAGCCAGTTGTTCACACATGCAGGGAGCAACAGAAAGGAAGAAATATTTAAACATTCCCTTCCTGGGAGGGCAGGAACAAAGCAGAGTGAAAGAGATAAAGAGATAAAGATAATGTAAGGGAAAATATTTCTGGGAGGCAATCCTGGGGTTTGGGAGTTCAATTCCTACTTTCCCTGTAGTGTCTTTAGTGTTGGGCCTTGGGTTTTTTCCTTTGGTTTAGGGTTTTGTGTGTGTGTGTGTTTTTGTTAGTTTTGTTATGGGGGTAATTGTTTTGGTTTTGGTTTTATTGATCCACTTCCTTTACTCATTCTTTTATTTTATGCTTACTTCCCTGGTTGGTTTATCTGTTCCCTTTTCTCCTGTTTCAGTTTCTTTAGATTGCATTCTTCCTGATCCATGTCAAATTTGTTTTTCTTGCAACTTTAGGGAAGTTGGTGGAATTGTGCTGTCCATAAACTGTGTGTGACTGATTCTGTTGAATGGATGTGCTATGTTTCAGCTGCCTCTTTTATAAGGCATATAAGCTGAATGATGGTGGTGTTTGCTTTAAAGAGGTATATGGTGTCTTTTAATTAAGTAGAACTTCAAGCAAGAGCAGAGGTCGTATGTACAGATCCAATTATAGGATCAGGGCCTGGTTGCACAATAATTAGCCTACTCAGCATACAGATATGATTAGACCGAAACAATCAGTCAGTGTGCTCTGTTCTAAGCAACCGTGTTTATCTGTCTTCAGCAGCGCAGCATTTTACTAGGAATGAGTTTTCTTTGAAGTTATTCTAGGTATAACTAACAGCTACCAGATTTTTCTCATTCATATCTTACTAATATTCTTATTTTCCTTGTTACTAATACTTTCATAAACTATAATCAAGCAAACAAAACAAAACCTCAAAATCCCCAGAGTGTCCTATTTTTCTGTTTTGTAATTTTGTTCTACCAGATTTATCGCACAAAGCCATTTATGGTATTTTGCTGATCCATTTATCACAAAATAAAACTTTTTATAGATTCTCAACACTGAAAATGCTTTGTCTTTTTTTATCCACTCAGTCTTTAATGCTTGCATAAAATCAGTATGTAACC